TAAGCCGCTACGTTCCTCCTCGCCTTGCTTGGTAATGCATGTAAAATTCCTTTCGGTGAGGCCGATACTGTGTAGGAGTGTGTCCTTACCGCAAATGAGCGGTAAGGACGTGAATGTATCTACCGCGACCCGTTATCCTCCGTGAACTGAGGGCGATTGCCAACTTCCGTACCAACTCTATCCTGCCCAGACCTTGGGGCGCGGTTTTGTAAATGGGGTTTTTACGGCATTCTCACATGCTTGAGGTTCAGGTCCGCGTGTAGCATGCGTCCATGTGTACGTTTACTGTGTCGGCCACTGCGCCCGAGCTAACCTCCGATCATCTTGACTCTATCATGCAATCGGAGCACGGTCGGTGTGCGAGTAGAGGGTGCAATAGGCACTGCGCAAGTCACAGCTGTTGAGTCCGCAGAGGCGGGCGCTGTCGTTAGTGGAAACTCAACCGATGCCCGTTTTATCTGGCTCTTTCCATAACGACCCTATAAACGCCTTCAGAAACGCCAAACTCTGCTATAGGTCGGATAACTTATTTAACCAAACAGCGTTAAGTGGGAAGCTCACGTAACCACAGATGACCGTTTCGCCTAGAGTGATTTATGATCGCTTATTAGTCTGTATTATGACAGTGGTATCGTTCGTGTAATTGCAGTGGCCTGATGAAGAATTGCCGAAAACGTACATTTATCAAAAATTGTCGTTGCTTAGCTCGGCCAATCATAAATCGTTCAAAAGGCCTAGGGATGACTAATAAAGGACAAACGCGTGTCTGCCCAAGTAACGAATTCAATTGCGAATGACATTTTCGCAGAGCCAAATTATGCCTGAATTAGCAGCCTTGAGGTACAACCGGCCCCCGCTAGACCACATTTCTGCCTATGGACGACAGCTGACATGGGCGGTCCCATAACATGGATAACTCTTGATAATAGGGGGAGGGGCGGAGTTGAAGGAGGGGAGCACGTCCTCACCAATACTCCTGCAGTGATGACTCAGTGTACGCTGACTATTCGGACGAATAAGCATTGGTAGCTGACGCCATCACGGCGGGTGGACGTGTTCTGGGTCATCTCTTCAGCCTGCTGCCCTCAGGGGGCTATGTTTGCCTTTAAATGACGAATGTCTACTGGGCGACCAGTGGCGAGGCTTTCACTGTCTCGGCATAACAGCGGGGTGCTCTAAATTAGGGGCGCCCAATTATGGTTCATCTGGCATTTCATGCTCGAAGCGCCCCTGTTTGTGTGAGTCGATTAGGGTTAGAAGGAGAAACGTAGTCTAGTGTTCCCTCTGCACGAGTGAGTCATGACAAGTGGAAACGAGACTGGTCTCGGTGACCAACCTCGCCCATTCTACGAGTCGATGGTTCTAATCCAGCTGATCTCTGCCTTGAATGCATGTTTCCGTGAGAATAATTTAACGGCGGACATAGTCACTTTCAACCATGAGCACATGTAAGATAGTTCAACCGTTGTAGGTGGCGATATGCACCTCAGCCTCATGAAGCAGGCGACCCCATCCAGCTTGCTCTACAGACAGTGTATGTTGGTGCTCTAGGCACAGATTCGTCAGTCTCCGTGTGATGGATTCGCAAGTGACAGACCAGGCCGATGTGTGAGGTGAATGCACGGGGACAGTGTGGTCAGGAAAAGTCGGCGGTGTCAGTGTTGTCGGTTAAGGAGATCGTGGCAGAGCTTCTGGCGTTGGACGAGCTGGACGGCGGGGTGTAGGTTGGGCTAGGTATGGTGGGTGTGTAGGATGTGCTAGGTGTTTCAAGGCTGCGATGAATTACGCTCTCGTGGACACGCATGTGATCTAGAAGGTCCATGAGGTGGTGGAATGTGCGGACGCAGTGAGGACAGTTGAGGTGGATGCGTCGAGTGTATGTTGGCGCTCCAGGCACTGGTTCGCCAGTCTATGTGCGATGGATTCGCAAATGACACCAATGTGTGAGGTGAATGTGCGATCGCAATGAGAACAGGTATGGACCGAGTCCACATTACTGCTGTTGGCGGTGGTGAGGTTGATGTTTGTCGGTACTTTAGGGTTGTGTGCAGTGGTGTTGGGGGCAAGAGCCACCGTGGCAGTTATTGAGACTGTGGGGGAGGGCAAGTGAAGATCAGAAGCACGGTTAGAAATGAATGTCGGTGTGGAGGGCGAGGCTGGGGTGGACGGGGAGACAACAACTAGTGTATTCCGGGTGCTGCAGTTGGAACGAGGATGTCCTACAAGGCCGATTGGTGCTCGGAACGTCCGCTGACTGCGTGGGCAGGTCGGGAATGGTTGAGCGTTGGCATTGCGAGGTGGGCGAGGTTGAGATTTGCGAGCCTCGCGTTTGGATTTTGCGGCGGTGATGCCGTTGGCTCCATAGACAGCTGCGCCTGTCTTCATTGTCCTCCAACAGGACGGCCGGCCCCGGGCGAGGTTTTCCAGGTTGGTCGGGTAGATTTGCAGACGCTTCAGGTGGTGGTGGTGGTGGTGGTGGTGGTGGTGGTGGTGGTGGTGGTGGTGGTGGTGGTGGTGGTGGTGACTGAAAGTGATCTAGTATTTTTGATTGGTCTTCGTACATTGTTCGCGTCGCTGCCCCGCAAAGAAGAGTCGCCAGCGCGACGGTCCGGTATGTCTTCGGCTTCGTGCCGTCGCCGTAACCGTAGACTGGGCGCTACTGGGTGCCGAAGTTTCTGGCGTCTTTCGAAATTGCTCTCACGAGATAAGCAAGTTTCTCTTCAAGTGTGAGAAGTGCTTCACTGCCACTGTGGTGAGCTGTAATGTGGGGTTTCAAGATTGTGAAAACGGGAATGCCGTTAGTTCGTATATTTCTCGGCGCTCAAAAGTCGCCGTGTCTTTCACACAATCTCTAATGCGAGGAAAATGCACCTATCTTAAGAGACTCACAGCAGTGCCTTCTTGTCTTTTTTATCTCCGTCAAAATAGTTGTGTATCCCGCTAGCTGACAGATCGCTCTCTCAAGCCATGGGTTTTCCTTGAAAGACCTGTCACTCAAACGTCACCCCGCTCTAGAATTCGTGCACAGCGTTTCAACGGACAGGTCTGACTAGATGCGGCATTACTCTAGTAAGCGTAATCTGGGAGAAAAAATCCACAACCTCGTCCCCCTTCTCCTCCTCCTCCTCCTCCTCCTCCCCTTCTCCCCCTCATTCTCCACTCAGCATGGTGAGAGAGGGGATCAGACGCTGGGGTTCAGCTCGCACCTCGCTATTTCTATGCATGTCAGAATGGACTGGTGATAACTTGTGCGTGACTTGGACTTTAACGAAGGAGGGCTGCACAGCACCTGTCTGGAGTGGACCCGCTGGCTAAAGGCCTCGTTTGCGCTAGCCACATCCGCCTTGATCCCCCATTCTATGAGGGATCGGGCTCCCATAAGTCGGCTGTCACATCTGTAGCATGTGCGCTGCGAGGGCCGCGTGAGTGGGCAAGTATTGAAATCCGAACCCGATACCTCGGTAGCTGACAAACGTTAAAGCCTCGGCCTGTCGGATCAATTATAGGAGTTCGACTGTCGCAAAGGATTGGCTGCAGGGGGTGGTGGTTTGGTCCTAAATTGTTTTAAAGTGAGCCAAGCTCACACGGCGTCTACCGCGCTCTCTCATCCACCCTGCTCCGATAAGAAGACAGTGTCAGAACCATGAGAGGTGGGTGAGGACGCAGTGGCGGACAAAGTCGACCGGTCTGTCTGCGCGTGCCACACACAATCCGTCAGGCTTCAGTAAAGACGACTTGGATCCCACGTATGTGAAGCTGCTGCAAAGGCCATACTGAGGAGCCGTTGTAGCCTGACTATCCATCCCAAGAAGAACTGACTTTTCCCACCATTTGGCAACCTTCCAGAACCGCGGGAAAACTAAAGTGCCCTTCGACTTCACACTACTCAAGATTATCCTCTCTTGGATGGCTCGAGGCAGCGAGATGTTCAGAAGACGAAGATGCGATCACTGGAACAAGAAATTTATTGGCTGGACGTTTCGTTCACCGGATCTGGTGTAGTTGCGGACAAAGCAACTATGTCGAAGAAACTGGGAGATTACTCCGTACGCGAATTGCCGAGCACGCAGCGGTGAGGCGGGGAAACGATGGCTCTCAGGTGGCCGCACACTCGACGGAACCCGGCCATATTTTCAAATTTCAAGAGGCCGAAATCCTCGCAAGGGGTGACAACCGCGTGAGTCGCGAGCTGCTCGAGTCATGGTTCTCAGGCCCGCAATCCATCAACAAGCACAATGACCTCCCGGTACCATATTCCGTGCTGAGATTTGCCCTGGGCAGGGAAGTCAGTCATGTGGGGAGGGCGCGGGCGAGCAATTATCACAGTGACCGTGAGCCAATCTGCCGAGCAATCGTTACACCAGCATCCAGCACGGGTGACGAAATCACGGCCATTAACGACTCGGACTCGGACTGACAAGCCACCACCGCATCAATCACAACCCTAGTGGTGATTGCGAGAGCCGTTAATTGCAGTGCACATATGGTCCCACGGCAGCCGCGTGCTATAAGTACTGCACTCCTTGTGCCACCATCACCTTTATCTGCGAATGTCTCTGATGATGGATTCGAGTGAGAATCCGAAACGTCAGGCCAATAAATTTCTTGTTCCAGTAATCGCATCTTCGTCCTCTGAACTGCTACCTGGAACTCGCCTGTTCGCTTCTATAAGCAGTGAGATGTTTTGTTTACCGACTAATCACCTTCGGGAGGTAACTCTCCGCACACAACTTTTACTGTCAACCCTGCAATTATCCGTGGCCTCGCCACGAAGTTCGGCAAAAACAAAGTCTCGAGGGTTGAACTTAGTCCTTAAACGCTACCCGCCCGGTGGAGATGGGTGTGTTTGACAAATGGGGCCTCCGAGGAGTAAGACAGCTTGCGTTTGCAGACTTTGTCCCGAGCGTAAGACTTAGCAGTCGGTTACGGACGCCTCCTGTCTTTGTTGCATTTAAAGGCTCGATTGGCTCGCACTTAGAAGACCTGAGGAAGGACTCATCCATGACTTAGTGTTCCTGAATTTCTGTCCGAGTTGGAGTCTTCACAGTCGTGATTAACTGGAGAAGCAAAGAAATATGTCGAACTCTGGTTTTAAGAGGATGTTGGACTGGACGACGTTGGCTGAAGGTTTATCGAGCCATCACAAGGCACGGGACTCACTGGATTATAACAGACTAGTCGGCCAAACCAACATCTATCCCAGGGTAATAACTGACTAAACAATGAACCCGCGGATCACTGATACAACATTTGGCACAATATTAAACCACCGAAAAGTGCGCTTGGCCCGTGCGCCTCAGTAGATTTAATTGTGTCAGATTTGTTTTAGTGAAGAATGCACGAGTGTGCTGCTACGATGGATTTCCCACTGTGGACTCCATTCTCTCTCTCCCCTCTCCCATGCACCAGTCGACTGTCCGACAGTGGTGTCAGCTTTGTGCTGCAATGGACTGTAAAATGGCTTTCGGGGTGGTAAGCAAATCCAACCTCACAACAATTTCGTCCTAGTACCGATTTATTGTTGATATATGTTGGCGGACGATAGCAAAATGTTAAGACTAAAAATTAGGACCCATTTACGTCAAATAACTCGATAAATAAGAAAGAGTTTCATGAAGGTACAGAGGTAACGATAGGGTGTAGGACCACCAAGTAGATGGGAACTCCAAAAATATACCCTAAAATTCAGTGTGAATGCAAACAGCATTTATTATTCGCTGTTCCCATCGTTTAAAACTTCCTTCCCTTCCTGACTAAATGTAAACTACCAGCGCCGGTATATCCGAAGTTCGTTATTTTTCGAAAATTGCTTTTTCTTCCTTTTTTAATTATCGCGTTCACTTTCTTTGCCCAGTGGCAGCGTACGATAAGATTTTTGGCAGAAATTTATTCATTTTCTGTGTTTTCTTACTCTCCGTCCTGTGTGTCGCCCCACTCGTAGAGGCGCTTGCCTATATTTCTTTTAATAAACCTGAACCTAACTGAAACACTATTCGACGTATGACATGGTCCACAGGCTGTAAAGGCGCTTGCCTATAGTTCCCTTAATAAAACTGGTCCACAGGCTGCCTCAAGTTATTTGGGGGTCCTATATCCTACCGATGTCGGTACAGATGTGCAACTATCCCCTTTTCTTCTGTGAAATTCCTACGCTTCAGATAAAGGATTACTTTTCTCACTCGAATCTTGCCAGCCGCCTTTTTAAAAGACCTATTAGATCATAAAAATATGCTTCTACTTAAGCCATACCGTAAGTGATAAGAAAAGATCGCCAAAAGAACTGCCGAAGTGATATGGCTGTGGGGGGCCGGATCTCGGAGCTACAGAGGACATGACCGCCGGCGGTTGGAGTGGCCAATAGGTCCTCATTCTGACTCACAAGGCGGGTCTATTCTCCCCTCCAGGTCAGCTTCCTCTGGGGTCACGAGGATAAGCCCCATGTGCACAAAACTGAAACGCCGGCACTTGTCCTGAGATGTGGACTGACTGGTGCAGGCAGCTCTCGTGTGACCTGAAAATAGTCTGCGATCGTTTTAGTAGTTAGACATGCATTCTTCAGTCGTGTCGTTCATAGCTCAGAAGCTTAACACCTGACGCGAAATCCGGAGGTCGGCGGTTCGCGCCCGTCCGGCGTTACTCGGCTCTTGTCTTTTCGATTCCATCATTCTTCATAGTGCGTTTCAGCTGAAATCATGCTTCCAGTTAGTTGATGCATGATGGAGTACTAGACCGAATGGCGGAGCAGATTGAGTTTCCTGCCCTTCTAGGTACTTTGTTGTCATCCCAGATAAGAAGGTAGGTAGCCGGACACACTGGCTGCCGGTATTTTTAGGCCTTGGTTACTCCCGGACCTATCAACGTTCGATTATTTTTTTGCCGCAAACTGGCACTTCTGATGAGATTGAAAAGCTGTCTTCAGATCTCTCAAAAAGAGTATTAGAGCTGCGAAAATTTCCATAGCAGTAATCAGAAGACGAGGTGGCGAGCATACGTAGTTTTCGACAAATTCTCCTCGGGCCAGTACAATTTATGGAAGCAAAAACATGTCAGTGATAAGAGAAATCGATTAAATTTCGTCTTAAAACACGGGCGGAGTGTGGGAAGGTGGGGGGGGTTAGTTGGGGGGTAATAACAGTCAGTGACAGGGGCAGGATGAGATCGGAGGGGCGCGGAGAGTTACAGCGTTAGTCTTCCTTCGACCACTGTAGGTGCGGAGCCTAAACTTGGTTCTTCTGTGCCCACAAGATTGGTTTTGGTAGCCTGATGGCGGCCGCTTCTGATGTTGCTAACAGGATCCTACTAACTGCGCGTAGTGAACTCCGTTTTGGTTGCCGCCGGCTACATAAAACATCTTAGTCAGAGCCAGAACGGACGCTCACCGGTCTAATTGGCTTATCGGGACAACCTGCCCGCCTTGTATGACTGGCTGTAAGGACCGCGAACTAGTAACCGGTAGCCAGTTTCTCGGACATGATTGGCTGACTATAGCACCGAATGGGCCCTCAGCAGCTGATGTCCTCGCCTTCAAAGCCTTTGACGTCCTACTGATTCCGCATTGATCAG